TGGGGCAAGTAGCAGATCGCGTCGACCCTGGCCCGGGGCGCTTTCAGCTGCGCCATGGCTCCCAGCGCGTTGGCCACCCTGGCCATCCACGCTGCCTCTGGCGTGAGCCTCGGCGACCTGGGGTCCTGCACCCCGCTGCGCTTGACCAGCTTGGTGGAGAAGCCGTCCGCTCTGCCAACGTACCTGGTCCTCTGCTCCTCCAGCTGGTATACGTCGACCCACTCGTCCTCCGCGCACTCCAGGAAGGTGGCGAAGGCGGCTGTGAGGGCTCCCTCAGCCCCCTCCGCCGCCGCGCCCTGGGCCTGCCCGTCCTGCTGCAGGCGCTGGGCTTGCCCCGCCGAAGAGGCTGCCTGCCTATTCTCGACCCAGGGGCTGGGGGGCCTCACGTGCACTCCTTCAGCCGCATCAACCTGAAAGGGACAACCCGCGATTCCGTACGGTGCCTGGCTCGGATGTGCACTGCCAGTCCCAGCATGGGGAGGACTGTCCGCCTGCTCCTCCTGCGCAGCGCTGCCCGCGGCGCTGCTGCCCCCTCTCTCCGCTGCGTCGGCGTCATGCGCTCCTGGCGCCTGAGCTCCGAGGTGCGCTGGCTGGACCTCGCCGCGTGGCGCTGCGCCGTACCCTTCATCGCCAGCTTCCTGCCGTAGCCCGCAGCTGTCGAGGATGCTCTGCCACTCCACGCCATGCTGGGCGCGGCACCTCATCAGCTTCTCGTCCGTCACGCAGGATGGCGGCGCAGGTGCGATCGGGAGCACTCTGCCTAGGGGTCCCCATCTCTCCGCCGTGGACACCTCCTCCGCTTCCTTGCCCCTCACTGGGCTGGGAAGCTCCTGGCCTGCTCCAGCTGCGCGCTGACCTGCTGCGCCACCGCTGCTGCTGGGCTGAGGGGCCTCCTCTTCAGCGGCAGAGGCTGCCTGCCTCTTCTCGACCCAGAGGCTGGGGGGCCTCACGTGCACTCCCTCAGCCGCATCAACCTGAAAGGGACAACCCGCGATTCCGTACGGTGCCTGGCTCGGAGGTGCACTGCCAGTCCCACCATGGGGAGGGATGTCCGCCTGCGCCTCCTGCACAGCGCTGCCCGCGGCGCTGCTGCCCCCTTTCTCCGCTGCGTCGGTGCCCTGCGCTCCTGGCGCCAGGGCCCCGAGGTGCGCTGGCTGGCCCTCAACGCCTGGTGCAGCGCCGAGCCCTTCCGCGCCAACTTCTCGCCGTAGCCCGCAGCTGTCGAGGATGCTCTGCCACTCCTCGCCATGCTGGACGCAGCACCTCATCAGATTCACGTCCGTCACGCAGGACGGCGGCGCAGGTGCGATCGGGAGCACGCTGCTTAGTGGTCCCCATCTCTCCGCCGCAGACACCCCTTTCAGCTCCCTTGCCCCTCACTGGCCTGGGAATCTCCTGGCCAGCTCTAGCTGCGCGCTGACCTGCTGCGCCACCACTGCTGCTGGGCCGAGGGGCCTCCTCCTCAGCACGTGGGGTGCTCCTCGCTGCGGCCTCACCCTCGAACCTCAGCACCGACGCGAGCTGCTCCTGCACCCTCATCATGGCTTGCCTCCAGCTGCTGCCGTGGTCTCTCTCACAACACCCTTGCGGCCGAACCTCAGGAAAGGTCCGCGGCTTCTGGACCAGCCTGGAGCGCCCCTCCTCTTGCTGCCTGCGGATCTCGAGGATCACCGCCGAGTGCGGGTACACTGGCGAGGCCTCCACCACCCGCACGCCCAGCGCAGCCAGCCCCCTGGACACCAGGAAGAAGTCGATGGTCCTCCCCGACGCTGCACACGTGGGCGAGGCGGGCCTGACCACCTTGCCGTCGAACATGTCGGGCACCCCGCCTGCCTGCAACTCTTCCTCCGTGAGGTTCCAATCGCCGCCCACCACGAAGTCCCTGCGGCACTGCCTCAACCTCCTTGCCAGCCTCCTGAGGCTGGCCACGTTGCCATCGTTAAGGCCGACCCCCGCCTCCACGTAGAGGTTGGCGAGCAAGAAGCCGCTGCTCAGCACGCCTGACACCCAACGCAGGTGCACTCGCCCTGCCACCAGCACCGCTGCCTGCTGGTCCTGCACCTCCGCCATGCCATGGCTCCTCCTCACCATGGTGAGGAGGCCTCCTGTGCTGAGGCCTCCTGCCGCTGACGGCACTGCAGGCGCGCCTCTCGCCCGCCACCCTTGGCTGCGGAGCTGCGCCTCCGCATCACTGCCCCTTCCCTCCAGGAGCCTCGTCTCCTGGACTAGTATGGCGTCGCAGTCCTGCACCTCACTCACCGCCATGCACTTTCCCAGGTTGCTGAACGCATTGACGTTGACCGTGCAGATCCTCCAGACCCCACACTTCTTGCTAGGACTCCTCCTCCATCTGCTTGACCTCCGTCCGCATCTTCTTGGCGTCGCCCAGCAACTGCTCCGCTGCTTCCCCCTTGGCGGGGTCCTCAATCCCGCACGCGATGTCCTGCCACGCTTGCTGCGCCGCCTGCGACACGCCAGGCCCCTCCTCCTTGGGAGCGTCCACCTGCTGCGCTGCTGCTGGCACCGCTGAGGGCACAGGGACCGCCGCTGCCACAGGCGCACGGGGAGGCGCCCACGCTGCGGCGGCGGCGCCTGGCATGCCGCTGAGCTCCGCAAGCACCTTCCCGAGCTTCGCGATCTCGTCCCTCGACAAGCCGCCGATCGCCTCCTGTATCGACTCCAGGGAGGCTGCTGGTGCTGCTCTCGGCTCGGCGGCTGCTGCCGCCGCCTCAGCCTCCTCGGCCGCCACCCTGGTGCGCTGAGCCGCCAGCGCCTCGCGTGCCTTGGCCGCCGCCTCGTCGCACTCCTTCCGCAGCAGCACCAACTTGTCCGCGAGGCTGGCCGACTCGTTGATGGCCGCCACCGCCTTGGCCTTTGCCTGCTCCAGCTGGCCCTCCACCTTCTTGACCTGCAAGACCTTGGCGTCCGCCTGCACCTGGGCCGCCTTGACCGTCTTGTCCTTGGACAGCTCGGCCCCCAGTCCGCCCTCACGCAGCCTCCGTGCCTGCAGAAGCTGCTCGCGGACCTTCGGGGCCAGGAGCGCGGCGGTGAGGGCGAAGTCGGCCTCTGCCATGCACACGAAGCCACTGCGCTGCTCCTCGCTGAGCTCCACGGCGCCACCAGCGTCACGGCCGCCACCTTCTCCGCCTCGCCACCACGGGGCACGTGTGGGAGGCTTGCCGCCGCCTGCCCCACGCCCGCCGCGCCCGCCGCCAGCGCCGCCAGGAGCACCACCACCGCCGCCGCCTGCAGGCCACCCCCGCAGCGGAGGAAAGGCGCCCAGCTGCCGCGGCGCAGGCCACCCCGCAGCTTGGCACCCCTTGCGACAGCACGCCCTCTCGGCGAAGTTGTAGTAGTCGCACACCGAGCACTTCCACTTCGCAGGCCACGCCGCGCGGCCGCCTCCCCCACGCCCAGCACCCACGCCGCCGCTCCCCGCCATGGCGCGCGTGAGTTTGGAAGGAGGCCGCCCGACTGCCAGAGTGCACACACTCTTGCCTGCGCACGGTAGTGCGATCCAGTGAAGCACGGAGGCTGAAAGCCCCCCCGAGCAACCCATCTTGAGCCAAAATGGCTACGGAGCAGAAGGAGGAGGAGGAGGAGGAGGAGGAGGAGAAGGAGGAGGAGGAGGAGGAGGAAGGGCGAGTCTGTTCCCCGTGGAGAGACGGAGAGAAACAGGAGGGCGACAAAAGAGGAGACCTCCTGCGGGAACCCTCCCTTCCCCCCGAAAATCCCGCAGCAGTGGTCCCTTCAACTCGACCCTGAGGCGGAGAGCTCCCCAGACATTCGGCGACAGCCGAGCACCTTACGCACACTCTGATGCCAGCCCTCTGCACACGAACGGTCTGATCGAGCCTGCTGCAGACGGCACTGGGAAAGCCTGGAGATTCCGCGAGGGGGGACCAGGGGGGACGAGCTCGCCAACGCACCCCCGCAGCGGGCCTCCGAATCTTCACTCCGTGGCCTCCGAGATGTCCAAGATGAGATGACATCCCCGCTGGCGTAGGCAACACGCCAAGGAGATCTCAGAAACACCAGATAGGCCTCCAAGGCTCCTCAAAAAGGCTTCAAGAGCACCCTGGAGAGGGTCACAAGAAGCATACATCGCCCCAATCCTTTCGCAAAGCGCACACGTTTATCGGATTCGCCCTGTTGGTGCCAACATCGTCCAAGACGGCCCAAGAGGCCCCCAAGATCGCTTCAAGACTGCCCCAGAGGCCCCCAGGACGGCACAGAAGAACCCCGAAGCGGCCCAAGAGGCTCCCAAGATGGCCCGAGGGGGACCCCAAGAGGGGCGCGAGAGGGGGTGCTTCGACGAACGGACCTCTCGAGCCCTCCGCCCCGAGAGGACCCCCGAGACCGCCAGCGCTCGCCCAGAAGCCCCCCAAAGGGGTTCCAAAGTGCCCACAAGAGAGGCCGAGAAGAACGAGCCTCCGGAGGCCACCACGCGGTCCCCCTATCAAGAGGCGGCCCCGCCCGTGGATGACCGTTCCCCTCCTCGGGCGGTGCGGAATGGCGGCTGTGTCATACAGTCGGGGCGTGGACCTAAGGAGCCCCAAATAAGGACCGAGGCCCCTTTTCTCCATAAGTTCAACTTCAATTTCCTCTCGAAAAACTAAGGAAAACCTGAGGCAAGCTGTGAAACACTGAAGGAACGCGGAGCCCCTCCCCAACGAAAAGGGTTCCTTCTTCAGGGCCCCGACTGTAGCTGGCCCGAGGGTTGCGCCAGCGCCCGGCGAAGTCTGCACAAAGCCGGTGGCGAGTCCGCAACAATATTTCGAGCTCGCGGAAGGCCGACAAACCCGACTTCGCCTCCTGCACTACCTCTGGATGGAGAAGGGGAGAGAGCAGGAAGCAGCAGAGGTGGTAGGGAGCTTGATGGCACAAAACTGGCAACGGGCACGGGTCAAACCCCTCGACATGTAAGCAACACGATACTCAGGCGCCAAGAAGGACAGGGGGAAGTGCGAGGAGGGACGCGAGGGAGGAATGAGTCGATCCTCCACCGAAGCAACTCCAATGTTCTCGAGGCACTTCTGCAGCCACATATCTTCGCCCATCCGATCGTAATCAGGAATACTCCTGCTGCGAAGGAGGGTAGGGTGCTGCGGCACACGTGAAGGGTGGGAGGAGGAAGATCGGGATGAGGACCCAGCGTAGGCATGAAGCCACGGGTGACATAACGATTCAGGCCTGTCTGCAGCGGGGCAACAAAGCCAGCAAAACAGATACAACAGATCAGCCAGCACAGACTGCACCTAGATCAGAAAACTGAAATGAAGTGGGCTGGAGTAGGCTAGAATGAAATGGTCGGGAGGAGACTGGCATGGACTGTGGTGGACTCTGCTCCAATCTACTCGACTCTAGTCTACTCTGTTCTACACAAACCTATTATACCGCATACCCTTCTCTGCACTACTCTCATCTGCTCTACTCTGCCCTACTCAATCCAAACCTATTCGACCCTACCCTAATCTACTTATATCTACTCTTCTCTACCATATCATACCCTACTCTACTCTACCCCTACTCCGATCTACTATCGTATACTTGCCTCCGCCATGGTTTGCTCTACATTAAGAAAACCATAATCTACGACTCTGCCATTATCTACTATACTCTACTCCGCTCCACTCTACTTTACTCCACTCTACTCTGGTCTACTTTACGTTGCTCAACTCTGCCCTATTCTACTCTACCCTGCCCTACCCTACCCTAACCGACACTACTCTACTCATATACACCCTACCCTACTCAAATATCCGCCACCCGGCACTGAGGCACGAGCTGGAGTGTTCTCAGGTCCTTGGCCTAATCCCACAAGCCTCAGCTCACCATCCTGAGGATTCTGGAAAGGGGCCCAGACCATAAATTGCCAAATCTTCTGGGGCTCCTGGCGTGCTGGGGAGTGTTGTCGTCTGTCTTTTTCGGGACCAAGAGGGCCCCAAGACGGGCGAAGAGGGCCGCAAGAGGCCCCCAAGACGATCCAAGAGGGCCTTGAATTGCCGAACGATCGGTCCAGGGCGCCCAAGATGGCTCCAAGACGGCCCAAGAAGCCGCCAAGATGCCTCCAGAGGGCCCCAAGAGCCTTCCCAAGAGGGCCCCGAGAGGCGGAAATCATACATGTTCAGTCGGTATTTACTGTTTGGGGGATTCTCCACTGTTCTTGCTTCCGCCGCTCAAAGACGTCCCAAATTGCCCCCAAGACCGCCCCAAGACGGCCCCAGAGGCCCCCAAGAGAGCCCCAGGACGGCCCAAGAGGGCCCCAAGACTGCCCAAGAGGGGCCAAAGACGGCCCAAGAGGGCACCGAGAGGGGCCCAAGAGGGGGAGCACGAACCGAAAATCCGACCCTCCCGCCCCAAGAGGCGCCCAGGAGGCCACGAAGAGGCCCCACGAGGCCCCGAAGGGGGCCCCAGGACGGCCCAAGAGGCCCAAACGAGGCCAGAGGCCCAAAAGAGGCCACAAAACATCCCCCCAGAGGCCCCAAAACTGTCCCCAGGAGGCCCCCCAGAGGCCTCGACGAGATCCCAACGATCATCCAAGAGGCCTCAGACCCACAACCCAAGCACGGTGGCGGGACGGGCCGAAGGCAATGAGATACTCATACTCGACTCTACTCTAATAGTCTTTCCTATACTCGACCCTACTCTGCCATACCCTACCCCTACTTACTCAACTCTACTCCTCTTGACCGTCCTCTAGGCGACTCTGCTCCAACTCTGCTTTGGTTCAATATCCGCCGCCGTGCCTCGAGGCACGAAGTAGAGTGCTCCCCAGGCTGCTAGAGTTCTCTGCGCGCTGTATTCGGTACAAGAAAATCATACTTTGGGGCAGGGAGCCCAATCCCTCAAATCTTCAGGGCGTTCCCGCGAGTTCTCGGGCTCCCTCGCAGGACTTGTCCAGAGGCCCGAGGGCCACCCCCCATGGCTGGCCAAGAGAGCCCAGGAGGCCCCCACGAAGGTCCAAGATGGCCCCGAGTCGCCCAACAGTCGTACCAAGACGCCCCAAATGGCCCACTGGCGGCCCCAAGAGGGCCCCGAGATGCCAAAATCATGGATGTCCCTAAGGTGTTTGAAGGATAGTGGCGGCTTCCGCCTCTTTCGGCGCTCGACGCTCCAAGACGGCCCAAGAGGCCCTCGAGATCGCCCCAGGACGGCCCAATAGGCCTCCAAGAGCATCCCCAGGCGGCCCAAGGTGGCCCCAAGAAAGCCAAAGGGGCCCCCGAGACTGCTCAATTGGGGCCCAAGGGGGGCCCAAGGGAGGCCCCAGAGGGGAAACACGATCCGACATCTCGAGCCTTTCACCCCAAGACGGCCCCCGAGACCGCCAGCAGGCCCACAAGAGGCTCCTCACAAGCTCCAGGACGCCCCCAAAAGGCCCACATCAAGCTCCAAGAGACCCCTGAGAGGCCCCCAAGACACCACAAAACCAGGTCCAAGAGGCCTCGGAGAGGCCCCCCAAGAGGTTCCCGCAGGCGTCCCAGAGGCCTCCGACCCACAACCCAAGAACGGTGGCGGGATGTGCCGAAGCCCTATATATATATACATATACACACACACACACATATACAGACTCTACTCAACTCTCCTCTACTCTACTCTATTCCACCCTACTCTACTCTACTCCACTTCTACTCCAAACTAATAGACGCTGTTCTACTCGACTCGAGTATACCGTATACTCTGCTCTACGCAACTACATTATGTTAGGACCTGCCCTAGTATACCCAAGCACACGCCATCATATCCCATCCGATCCTGTCCTACCCAAATATACCCTACTCTACTCTGCTCTGCCCTTCTCTACTCAATTGCTACTCTGATCCTACTGTACTCGTGTCTACTCAATTTTACTCTAATGTACTCTCCTCCACTCTACACCAATACACTCTTCTCTAATCGACTCGACTCTAGTATCCTCTGCTTTACTCGGCTCCACTCCACTTCACTCTAGTTTACCCGATTGTGTTCCACTCTACCCTACTGTACTCTATCCTACCCTAGCCTAACCGATCCAACTCTAAACTATGTTTCCCATACTCTACTCTACTCTACTCTACTCTACTCTATTCTTGCCCTAGTCTACTATACTCTATTATGCTGTACTCTACTCTGCCCTGCCATACCCTTGCCGACTCTACTCTATCATCTACGCTACTCTACTCTAGTCTGGTCTGACCTACTCTACTCGGCTCCACTCCACTTTACGCGTCTCTTACTCTCCTCTACTCCACTCGACTCTACCCTACTCTACTCTACTCTGCTCGACTCTACTCTACTCCGACTCTACCCTGACTCACTCAGCATCGGCCCAATGAAAGTTCCATGGATTTTCACCACGCGGCGCTCGCCATCTCAAGCCGGCGGAAATAAAACGAGGTCGAAAACGGGGGAAGACTGTCAGAAGGCCGGCAGAAGACAGCAGAAGCAAAGGACGCCCCTTCACTGCTAGCCCCCTTACCCGCACAGAAGCCTAGCATGGCAGCCTTGTTGCGTGGGCTGGGCGGGATCCTGTGTGATTTCGTCCCCTAAAATAGAGTTGGCTCAGCCGGTTCAAGACCCCACCCGCTTAAAAGGTGGTAAATCAAGATCCCGTCTCGTTCCTGGTTGCCGCCAGACTGGCATCGGCCCGATGAAGATGGCGCTGAAAAGTTGCAGATCCCCTGTCGTGTTGGGGTCGTATTGAGGTAATCTTGAGAACAGCTTGACATCAGAATCTTGATGTCAGATTCGAGTCAGTAGTGGATCACGCGGACGTCGTCGGGGCGTCATGGAGCCATCTTGGGCGTGCCTGGATCCATATTGTGGCCATCGTGCCATCTCAGGGTCACTCGTTGCTCGTAGGCTGGGCCGTCCTAGAGTCGGCCTGAGACGATCCAGAAGCCATGTTGGGAACATGTTGGGACAGCGTCCTCCTGGGGTCGACTGGAGGTCGTCGTCTGTGGTCTGATGCATTCTTGGAACCATTTTGCGATCATGGGGTTATCTTGGGATTGTCTCCGGATGAGCGCTGAGCAGGCGTGCACAACATGTCGCCTTGCCGTTGGCGCGCTTGCGAATACTTACTCTGGTGGGAATCGAACAGATTTGTTGTTGGAGCCAAGTACTCTACCCTGCTCTGCTCTACTCTACTCTACGCCTCATATGCCCTACTTACTCTACTCTACTTCCGAATTTGGCGATTAGTGGACGATTGTTGGGACGCCGGTGGAACAGCCACAGGAAGCAGTTGCAATGGCAGAGGATGCCAATGCAATAGCAGATGGAGGTATTGCAATAGCAGAGGAAGTCATTGCCATCAGTTCGGACAGCATGAGGGGGAAGCCAGTGCAACCATCTGGGGCAAAATGAGGGGTAGCAATGGACCAGTTCTCTACACGTTGAACCAAGATTCCTACCTGCAATCCTAGTTTCAGAACAATCAAGGACCCAAGGGAGACCGAGCAACCTGACGACGACAATCAAGCACATGCCCATGTGAGACGGAGACGAACCCCAGGGGAACCAGACGCCCGAGCCCAGATACGAACTGCGACGTATCTGCCTTCGCGCGTGAAAAAGCTGTGCCGCTGTCTTGCTACGTACCGCCCGGACGTCCGTTCCCCGTGCATGTGTCGGTGTCGCGCGTGCGTGTTTGCAGACGATCCAGGATGCTCCTCGGTGATCCTCGCAGACAGAAAATGCACACGTCCGAGCGATGCCGACTTGTTGTTCGATAATCGAGCAGTGCTGCTGCTGCTGCTGCTGCTGCTGCTGCTGACACCCCTCTACTGTGTGGTGTCCCCGTGGCCCGCGGCATACGAGGCCATGCGCACGGCCCGAGTGAGCCGCCCCTCGCTCTCGTCCCCTTCCGCGGCCGCCCCCCCCTTCTGCACCCCGCCCGCTGTCGCACGGTTCGCCCCGCGGCGTCCCCGCGTGTGCGCGGACCGCGCTGTGTCCGACAGCGCTGCGACCAGAAACGAGTGGGCCCTCGCTCTGGCTGGGAGGCTGCTCGCGCCGCGTCCCTCCCTCCCGCCTTCTGCATCCGGCCTCCTGCTCCCGCCTCGGTCGTGCTCTTCTCCCGCCTCCTTCTCCCTGGCCTCGGCCTTCTGCTTCCTGATGCTTTCTGGACGTGCGTCCGCGGAAGCATCTGCGCGAGTGCTGCATTTGCGTAGATGCCAACTGGGGGGCTGACAGCTGCACGACTGTCGTGTCTTTCGTGAGCTCATGGGAGGCCCAGCGGAGCGACATCCTACGCGCACCCAGACGAGGCCTCTTGCTCCCTTGAGGGCTGCCAGCCGCGCAAATGTCGCGCTGGCGTGGTTGCCAACTGGCGGCTGTCGACTGAGCAACTGTCGCAACCTTCGTGAGCTCACGGGAGGCCCAGTGGAGCAACCCTACGCGTACCGAGACGGGACCTCGCGCTCACTTGGGGCTGCCATGTGCGCAACTGGCGCCACGTTCGTGAGCTCCAGGGAGTCCCAGCGGAGCGACGTACTACACGCTCACAGACGAGTCCTCGCGCTTCCTCATGGGCTGGCACCTTCGCAACTGTCGAAACGCCCGAAACCTCCTGGAAGGCCCAGCGGAGCAACGTCCTACGCGCACCCTAACGGGACCACCGCGCTCCCTGGGCGCGGCTGGCAACTGCGCAACTGCTGCCTGTCTCGTGGGCTCCTGGTGACAGTGTTACCCGCACTATAGTCATTTCTCCTCTTCTCCCTCCTCCTCCCCCTCCTCCTCCTCCTCCTCCTCCTCCTCGTCCTTCCGCTGGCCCTATCCTCCTGCTCCTTGGCCTACTCATCGTCATCCACCTCTGTGACGATAAGAATCGAAAAAGTGCGCGCGTAAATGAGGAACGCTGAGTATGGTCCGACGTGTGTTGGCGAAGCGCTCAGCGGAACTGCAGATCCACCAATGTGCTATTTTGCTTTCGGCTGATCCATGAAATAGCCACAGCGTGTTTAGACAGGGTTGGGCACTTCCAAGGATGATTACCCGAAAGGTGGTTGCACTAGGGCTGTTGTATATGTTCTGAACATGTTGCTAGAATTGCCGGGTTGTCGGATGGTTGTCCCCGCGTGCGCCGAAAGGAAGGAGAAACCGCATGCTGACTGTGCCACGAGGGTCTTCGTTGGAGCTCCTTAGGGGGGCACGAAGCATGGCAGAGGTGCTCGAGGTGGAGGGTGGAACCGCATGCAGAGCGTGCCACTGGGGCCTTCCTCCCTATGGGGCCACGAAACGTGTGAGGGGCGTGCCGACATGGGGCGGCACCGCCAGCCGAGGGGCCTTCGGTGGAGCTCCTTGGGGGGGCCACGGATCTTGTGAACGGTGCGCCGAAATTGGGGGTGGAGCCGCATGCGGACTTTGTCACAGTGGCATTCGATGGAGCTCCCTATAGGGTCACGAGCGGTGCGAGTCGGGCGCCGACATGTGCACGCGGAGGGCAGAGGCAGGCAGGTGAGGAAGGCAGAGGAGGAGAAGGAGGAGGAAGAAGGAAAAAAAGAAGGGTGGGAGACGCGGGGCGCTGCTGATTCCAAACGGGGACCCGCCACCACAGGATGGTTGGGGGAAAAGAAACATGGCATTGCAAGCACACGTTTCACAATTCATGCGCGAGCCCCTGAGAAAGCCATGAGAAAACCGCATACGGCTTGCCACGAATCAGATAAGGCCATGCGGGCCAAAAGGGCGCGCATGTCGAAGCCATTCAAGAACCATCGCGATCCCACCAAACATTTCGAAGTATACCACGCGGGCCACAGCGCGCGTCACCGCCCGCGCACACCGAACACATTCGAAAGATAAGGGTTGTAAATTGAATTGTCCAGCGTTGACCCCTACCAATGGTGTCTTCCGATGTACGCGGCGCCGTCTAGGTGGTGCAATCAATGCAGTAGTGCAATCTAGGTGGTGCAATCCGTCTGACGCAATCTGTGTGGTGCCAAGAAGCTCAAAGCAACGCACATCAACATCGACGCAAACCGATGCAACGCAATGCAAAAAAAAAACAATGCAAACTGAAGCAAGGCAGCGCAACACACCGCAACGCCATGCAACCCACAGCAACTCAGATCGATGCAAAGCAATGCACAGAAACGCGAGGCGGCGCAAAGCAGTGCGAAGTGGGCGGCGACGAGGTGGTGACGGCGGCAACCTGGCGGCCAGATCGGCCCGCAGGCCCAGGCGACGGGGCGGCGACGGGCGGCGCCCTGGCGGCGGCCGCATGGCGACCCGAGCGGCCCGCAGGCACAGGTCCTTAGAACAGGAGTCAGAGAAGCCCTGAGCGCAGGCACTGTCCAGGGGAAGATGAGGCACCGATAGCTGACCTCAGCCGTACGGGGTCATGCTGCCCACGCGCGCCCTTGGTAAACCCACCAGAGGCCAGAAGCGTCCCCCTTGCCACCTCGTCATCACCACATCACCATCACAATCGTCACCGTAATCATCACAACCGTCGTCATCGGAATCGTCGTCATCGCCGGTGCCGCCGCACTCACAAACATCCAAGCCACAATCACCATCATCAGAGTCGTCGTCGTCGTCGTCGTCGTCACCAATTCCGACGTCCGCATGGTCACTCGTCACCCCAAGCCATGGGTCTGCACGAGAAGGGGGCGCGCTCCATGCCGCACATTGAGACCTACAGACGGGTTCCGCGAGGCAACGGCACTCACGACCTTTTGGATGTTGCTAATCAGTTGCGGGTGGGCGGGTGGGATTCATGATCAAGCATTGGAGTCTCATGACGTACGAACCACGTAGTTGCGTAGTTCCTCGGAAACCACAGGTTGCGTCACAGCCACTACATCTATACATACCACATATAGTTCGCACACCACAGATTGCACCACGTAGGTTAAGCCACATGAACTGCACCGCATAGCTTGCTCAACACATCGTGCATCAAATAGCTTGCGCCACACAGTTTGCGGCGCAGACCTTGCACTACATAGCTTGCACAGCATATGCTGCACCGCAGAAAGTACACCACGAAGATTGAAAAGCACAGAATTCCGCCCACACATTGTACCACACAGGGCACAAATCGAAATGGCAAGACCGCACTGCTTGGGCTCCACGCTGGTAAGCATGAGCTGTGACCCTGCACTCCACCTCGACACAGTTTGGGCTCGCCTCGAGCAGACCCAACAACACGCTCATATCCTATTGTCCCGACACCGCGCTTCTCCGCCTTTCCCGTCCTCGCTCTTACCACGCTCACTCCAACGGAAGTTCTCTCTTCGTCTCCATGATTATCCTCCTCTTCGCTGTGAAAGAGAAGACCTAGCAGGAGAGAGGAAGGAAGGAAGGTAGGCAACAGCAAGGACGACCGCAGACACACACAGACAGACACACACACATACACACACACTCTCGTATAAAGACAGACATTAAAAGATTAATGCGGTTGCACGCGCAGATACCAAGATACACAGCCACTTAAATCCTTACACACCTAGCCATACCAGTTCGCAAGTTTGACTACAAGTATCGGGCAATGTTGTGCATGAGCCCCTGGAGGTGTGGATCCTTTCCGCGGGACTGGCGTGTCTCTCCTAGCGCGTGTTTGACACTAGTGGAGCCTGGCAAAAGGCGTGGAATACCATCAACTGTTCGAAAACGTGCGTTGCCTTGTTGCTCGCGTCGCGAGGGGTCAAGGTCTTCATCTGCCTTCTGATTCTCCTCCTGCTGCATGTCTGTCCTACCTTTCTCGTCTGTGCGAACAGCCCCCGCGCGCAAGCATCTGCTGGCCACGTTGCCGCCGCCTCTCAACACAGTGGCAGGCACAGTCGGCCAAACCGCACGCATGCAAGGAAAGACATTCCTGCAGTTGTCGACAGCGCGGCCCAATGCACGGACGGCTCGACTGGACAGGACCTGCTGCGGAATCAGAAAGCGCTGGATAAGACGGGTGGTTGTCCACCAAAAGAGAAGTTGGTAGGAGAGATGCGCATGACACTGTGGAGGGATTGAGGAAGACGAAGATGGACGAGGGAAAGGGAAGACAAAAGCAAGCGCGATGGGAGGACAATCCACGGCAAACGCATTTGCTTGCGACCCTGGCGGCAACATACTCAACTCGCTCCGCACTCTGAACGGGCCGCATCGCGTGCGGCTGGACACTCTCACGGGCACAGTCTTAGGTGCATCATGAATCTAGTGAACCGTACACACGTCCGCGCAGAAACAGGAGAACATTCTACGCACAAGAATTCAACCCATGAGCAGGCGTATTTTGCGGGAATGGCCAGCAATATGTTGCTCTGTTTCGGAAGCTTGCCGCACGACGTCCCTCGACCCGGCGGGCTGGCCACAGCTGACGCAAAGGCAACTATCAGCCATCCTTGTGGGCGAGGCGCAACTGGTGGTCTGCCGGTGACGCAGCACCCGCAGCCCACACACGTGCGCCGCGCGCGAGCGGGTCCAAATTGCAAGCGGTGCGGGGAAGCGCGGGCCACCAACAGGGGCCCTAATCGCAAGGGCGGATGCGCCGTGGGGTCGGACACAACGTCGGCTGGCCCAGTCCATACCTGCTGCGCTATGCCCGCCCATCTCCTCGGGGTCGGACGCAACGTCGGCTCGTGCTTGTAGTATGCAGGGCTGCCACGCTGGGCGCGCCCGCCGATCTTCTCCCAGAGAACCGATGCCAGCAACGCTGGTCACGACAGCACCCAACTATTCCGCCAAGCCTGGGACGCGGCCGCTCGCATCGGTAATGCTCCGCACAGCATCTGCCTGGACGCCAACGCCAGCGTCGCTAACTCCGAATTCCGCCACGGGTTGCGACACACCGGTTGGAAAATCGTTCTAGGGGGATTCGACGACGAGCACGCTTCCACTTTGGGACGGGACGCCGACTGGGATCATCATACCTCGGATGGCGGCATCAATAGCATCGTTACGTGCGCTGTCACGCCACTGCGTGCGCCCTCGTGGCGTATGTTCGTATGCATGGTGGCCTCTACACCAAGCAGCACCTGGGAACGCAGGTCACCCTCGACCTAGATACGTATGACTTAACCGATTGTCAGGCTTGCAAATTCTTACGCGTCGTCATACGAGTTGTGATAACGAGAGGTAGAGAGAGAGAGGCTGACAGACAGACAAACAGGGAGATAGACACACACAGAGACAGATAGGGAGAGGAGAGACAGAGAGGGAGAGACAGACAGATAGAGAGAGAGAGAGAGACAGATATGGAGGAGGAGGAGGAGGAGGAGCAGGAGGAGGAGGTGAAGAAGGAAGAGAGGGGGAGGAGGAGGAGGAGGAGGAGGAGGAGGAGGAGGCGGATGAGGAGGAGGAGGAGGAGGAGGAGGAGGAAGCGGGAGGGAGCACTAGAAAAGAGGAAGGGGAACAAGAGAGAAGGCAAGCGGGTTGCGTCTTCCGCGCGATACCGCGAGCCCGTTCCGTGCGCGGCCCACGCGAGAGAGGTCACCACTGCGGCCAATTTCTCCTCACCTGCTCCTCCAGTTGTACTGCGTCACCCACTCCTTCTCCCACTTCCAGCCGCCATTGCCCAGTCAATCATTTGAGTCTTCACGCTACTCTTTGAGTTCCTGGACTGTCTGTCTCAACTCGCGCACTTGTTACCTTATGTCCCCCCCTGTGGGTATGCATCATGTCGTACATCGCTTGGTCCATTCATCGCATGTCGGCCATCGTGGTTGCATGTTGCTCCATCTCGTCCGCAGTGTCGCGTCCGACTGGTGCTTCGGCTGCTGATGTGGCTCCACCTGCTGCTGGCTTTGCTGCCGCTGTATCCGTGGCGGCGGCTGTGGGTGCGCCGCCGCCGGCTGCCTTGGAGCGGGCCCCATTTGGCACCGAAGAGCCACTGGGCAGCGAAACTGCAATCAACAATTCCTTGCGCACTGCCCCGCACTTCGACCCCAGAGCCACGGCTGCTTCGAGCGGACGCCCGAGCCATGGCTGTCTCGAGAGCCTCGCCCCTGCGGAGGCGTCCGCCCAGGGGCCCGCAAACCCGCTGCAGCTCCGCGCGCCCGCGAGGCGCGCGAGGGGCCGGGGGGGGTCGCCCGCTCGGAGCCGGCGCTCGTTCTTCTTCAGCGAGATCACCTTCGCACTCCGCATCTCTGTTCTCTGCGGGCACTTGAGCGGCACTTCCCATGCCTCTGAACGGCGGCACCTGGCCCAAAGACCTTCAGGCGCTTCCTCGCGCCCCCGCCTTCCGCGGGAGCACCGCCCCCGTTCGCTGTCACTGCCAGCTGACCTCCTATCTCGCCCCCGCCGTCGCCGTTTGCCTCGGGATGCGATTGCGCCGCCAGCACGCCCCCGCCCTGTCGTTTCTCGACCTCTTGCTCCAACGGGCCCGCCAAGGCCTTCCACGTCCGCAAGTGGTTCAACCCCACAGGAGCCCCTGGATAGACCACCGCCTTCATCACCCACTGCTGGCCCATGGCGACGCGCCCGACATTCGCGCGCCCGTCTGCGGCGGCGATCTCCCTGCACCTCCGTCCAGGGGCGCGCCTCTGACAGGCGGGCGGAGCCCCCTCCCTGGTTCTCCAGCGCTCGCTTCGCGGGCGCCAATGGACGCCGCTGCACCCAGCGCGCAACACGCGGACGCGAGGGGCTGGGCGGCCCCATGCGCGCGCCCTGCTGCGAGCGCAATTAGAGGACATTTCCTGCCGCGCGTCCATCAGCTCAGGCGCTGCCCTGGGGCCTCATTTCCACTTCTGCTTCGGGATTGCTTCTCGCGCTGCCACGGTCGTCGGCTGCGCCGTCGCGGGGCGCCCGCGGCCCCGCCGCTGCGAGGCCACGCGCGCGCCGACTCATCATCCGCACCCTCCAGGGACACCTCGCTCGTCGCGCCGCCGGGCCCTTCGGCGCAGGAGGCGCCGCCAGGGAACGGGCCCTCGCCGCGCGACTGGGCACCGCTCTGAAAACTGACAATGCGCCGGGTTACGTTTGGACCGCCCCATCCCGCCACCGCGGTGCGGCCGCCAGTCATCATCACCATCGCCACCAGCAACATCCCCAGCATCACCATCATCAGCATTGCCATTACCATCTGGCCACCGCCGTCGCCATCGCCATGTCATCACAATCACAACGACCACCGCCATCAGTACAATCACCATGCTTACAGCCATCGCCGAGCGCAGGCTCACAATCATGATCCTCGCAATTAGACTCACAGCCAGCATCATCATGGCGATGACCTGCTTCTTCCTCGTCCTGAACACCATCATCGGACACTTCGTACTGATGGCGACGAAGGTGGCAGTTCAGTAACGCGGATGTTCGACCGTCGAAAAGCCACGGTCTCGCAAGGGCGGCGGCGCAGGAGGCCGCCACCACAACCGACCTGCGCCACGCCCTGCGGCGTCGCAGCTGTGCTGCGATTCCGGAAGCGAGAGGCCACCACTACGGCCTGCGCTGGCATCTACACGTACCCTCGCATGGCCAGTGCCATCCATTTCCCCTTTTCCGCGTCGAATTGGCCTGCCTCTAAGACGTCCAGCTCCTTACGCCTGACCCAGCTCCCGCCGCAGCCCGCCTCAATTCGCGCACGAGGCGTGCATGCGGCTCCATCTCGTAGCAATTTAAATGCGGTGTACCCCATTCGGGGAACAAGCGGAGGGCCGTCTCGGCCTCCTGGAGGATCACGAAGTCACAATTCTGGAGATTCACGTCCTCTCGGCCGGAGCGGACCTTGGCGGCGAAGCAGCGCGCGCGGTCGTAGCCATTGCTGCGGGTGGACAACGTAAACGCAACGAGGCCACCGCTGCAGCCATGAGGACCGTTGACAACCCACGCCGTGGTCCATCTGAGCAGCCATCTCAAGCCAGGTCCTTTGGAAGCTCTTGCCGGGGATGAAGCTGTAGTCCATGTCGGGCAGCCTGTTCCCTTCCTTGTGCGGCTTCACGATAGTACCGATCTCCATGGCTCCATCTCGAGGATGGTTTCTCTCCTTTCCCAGGGGTCATTCGGATCTCAGGTTTTTCGCGCAACCACTTCAGGGCGATAGGAGCACGCGAACGGACGGAAAGCCTGGTAGAACCCGAGATAAAACACCATCGGCGCCTCGCCCTCGGGCGCCGCCACTGCAGCAGACCCCTGGGGCCGAACTGCGGCCGAGCCTGCAGGCCCGTTGCCTGGCGGCGGCTGATCTGCGGCAGGGGCTCTCTCCCTCGAGCGCTGGCGCGTCCCTGGGGAAGCTGGACATGAACCTAAAAGAGTCGCAGTTGCGTTGGTGCTAGCGGCGGCGGCGGCGCTGCTGTCGGCGGCGGAGGCGGCGGCGGAGGCATCGGCGCCGGCGGTGGGCCCTGTTGCGCGTCCGCGGCCGCCACTGCGGCCTGGACGCGCGCGCGTCTGCGGGCGGGGGGGCACCTTCGCGAAGCCCCCTGTCGTCCCTCATCGTTTCGAGCAGGCACGCGGCCGCTGCTTCGACGCGGCGGCGCCGCGCGGCCTCACGAGCCAGTTCTTCGTCGCGCTCTGCCGCCCGCTGCGCACTCTAGGCGCGATTCTCCTCTCAGCGCTGCTGCTTGGCATCTGTGCGCCTCTGCTGTCAGTTCCGCTGGATAGAAGTACCAGACGACGTCTTCCTCCGAGTCGCCGGACGACTCTTCGTGCTCGTCGCACCACTTATCCCACTCTTCCGCAGTGTACCACGCACCGTGCCATAACTTCCACTCCTGGCCGCTACTGCAGCCTGATGGGGGGTGGCGTCAGCGCACTTCGCTGTCCCCGCGGCGCTGCGGCGGACGGACCGCCAGCTCGCTGTTCTCGGTTGGCGCCTGGACCGCCAGCCCCGCTCGGCTAGACGCAAGAGTGACCCTGGGTAAGAGTCATCTTTGGTGCGCGGTTCTTGGGGGGCTCGAGGGGGCCAAACCTGGGCGCGCAGGACGCTGGCTGCTGTCGCATCACGCTCAGCGATTTGATTGGGGGGGCCGAGGAGCCCGCACCCCAAAGGTCACTCCGGCGAAGGGTCACTATTGCGCGACGTCGAGGAGAGGTGGAGAAAGCGCGAGAGAGGAAGAGGGAGGATGAAGCGAATGAAACGAGAGGGAGAGAGAGGGAGAGCGGAGGAGGAGGAGGAGGAGGAGGAGGAGGAGGACGAGGAGAAGGAGGAGAAGAAGGAAGAGGAGAGAG